AAAAAAAAAAAAAGCTTAATATTTATTTGTTTACTTTATTAAACATTTCTTTCAATGTAAGTTGTTTAAGTTGCTTCGTTTTTATGTGATAATACTTTCTCTTTAATTCTATAAACAGACATAATTTCTTGTTCAATTACAAAGTTCCGCTGTTCAAGTCCTATAATTGCTGTGTAGAGAATACCGACTAATTTGTCAATCGAAATTTCTTCGTTTTCAATAAACTCTGTGTCACTTTCTTCGCTATCGGAAGCGAATTATAATGACGAGGAATCTGATTTAAATCATATCAAAGACGCAGTACATCTAGATGAAATACTACATTTAGAAAGGAATTATAAGCCAAATAAAATAAAAACATCTGCCCTGAAGATAAGGATAGTGCTGACAGATCAACTTCCAGTTCATTGCGCGCCGCTACGTTCCCCCCCCACACACACACAGACGCAGAGCAGCGTGAAATTGATAAACAGATTTCGGAATGGTTAGATAAACAAAGGATATGCCTTTATCCATTTTTTGCAGCAATTCCACTTTTTGTTTAATGGACTTCGAAACATACTTTCGCTTCGTAGATCCTTTACATATTAGTAAATATATATCAGAAATTCTATTTGACATAATCGAAAGTTCAAGCTTACTTTTATAAAATTGCTCTAACAGTCTGCAAAAAATAATAAGCCGGATCCAATTCGAAGATTAAGGAACAACGCAATCTGCAACATTAACTGAATTAGATAATTTTAGCTTAGCTTATACTGTACGTTATACATTAAACGCGCATTCGTAAACGTATTTTGCGCATGCGCACACGCATATTCGCAGCCGTAAAGTTCTTACGCGCATGCGTGCGCAGAAATTTTGTAGCTTTGAGGTTCGGATTATAGATCATTCCGGATTATGGGTGTCCGAATTAACGACTTTTGACTGTATGTATATTTTTCTTTTTTATAGTATTATTTTAAAGACTGATTAAACCAGCGACTAGTTATTTGAAAAGTGAAATGGACAACAAAAGTGAGGTTCAAGAATAATGGCTCTTCTGGTCTAAAATAATATGTGGCAACACTTAATGTGTCAGACATTTTACAGGTATACTGTTTTAAAAATGTTATGATTTTTGTTATTGAATTTTATGTGGCATAAGTGCAAAGAAAGTGATGATTAATGATAAAACAAAATAAAAAAACTGCATCAGCAGAAGTAAATTCAAGAGTAAGATAAAATGAGAGCATTAAAAACCTTAACAAATACTCTGGTGCGACATTAAAATTTGAATCTTTTCAGATTTTGTTTTGTTCTCCTCTTCTTTTTAAATTCATAAAAGATCAGTATAAGTTACAAGATTTGGTATTAATTTAGAAGTCAAACAACAAAAATCAGTGTTTGGTACTTTTCCAACAGAGCCATATCAGTTTGCAGTTTTTTGCTTGGGGTATTGGCTAAAGTGAAGTATAAGGGGCATGTCAAATTTGGCAATTTTTTTTGTTAGATTAGGATTTTAATTTGGTAACCTTATTCACTGAAGCCAGGCTTATTCATTTCTTTGATATTTTTTAAGCAAAAACAGATGGTGTATATGAGGAGCAAAGCAGTATTGTATCATAATATATATATATATAATGTTTAATAAGTGCAATGCCAAACTAATGCAATTATCTTTTTATTATTATTATTATTATTATTATTTTACGAAATCAGATTGCTATATACATTTGGATAATAACATTTATACAACATATAAATAATACAGTATGTGTAATGTTTAATATATCATACAATACTTATTTAACAATTCAGATCTGGATTTGAAGCTGAACATTTGTTTTCTTTTGATATATTGCCGATATTTACCGAGTTATGACGATTATCAGTAATTTGTTGATTGTTGACAAATTTGCAGTGATTTCTTCAGACATATTTGAAACCATAATTAACTATATTATATTATGACAAACCATTATTTTAACATGCTTCATAAAACTAACCTTCTACACTGAAATTTGTGCAAAATAATGATTTTTTTAACATTCTTGATATAATTACAAACAATTCAATTTTAATTTAAATAATAAAACTATTAAATTAATGATTATGATAAAATTTTTGGCAGCACTGTTCATCACGTGTAAAGGAAAATACCAGATTTCATCTTATTTGCACCACTATCTGGAATTGCAACATATCTTTAGGGGCCCCAGAAGTTGCATGAAAAAGCTAAATGGAAAGAGAATTAAAAAAATTTAAACATAACAATGTATGTGAGAAATGAAAGTAAGTTATAAAGAAGGAAATGACCTTCTGCAACTACCCCAATTATGTTTTCATTGCTCCATAAGTGTGCATTTTGAGAATCTGTGTAGCTGAATAGGTGGAACCATGTCTCATGACTGAATAAAGTGTTCTCCAATATTCCGTAATAAATTGCTGAAACCAATCATAGTCAGTTCCATTAAATTCATGAACAACTGTAAACTAGTAGTGATAACTTTCTTCACAGATCTTTGATATATACTTCATGATATTCCATTTTCCTGCAGGAAAAGTCAAAGGTCTTTGGGAGGAGAGACAAAAAATAAGTTTCTTACATTACACACTTTTTATACTGACAGTTGTGAGTGTCTCCTGCAGTTCTGATCGAATGCTGTTCCACTGGTCTCTAACTTCCTAACTAAATTTTATAAGCCACGTTTAGATGGTCTTTGTCGGCTACTAGACTGTTCCAAAAATATTCATTGACATGTCTTAATGGAACTACAAATACAGTATTATCTCACAAGATGCAGAGTAAAAAACCTCCCCCCCCTTTTTTTTCCTTTCTTCAAATCTGGCAGCTATGCCTTAACCATAGTTAAAAATGTGTAATGAATCAAAAGCAAATTCTCTTGCATCCAAACCTTAAAATTAGAGGTATCAAATTGATTTCTGTGTCAGAACATCTGTAAGAAGACTGTATGTACTCTACTGTGCATATGTATACTCAAAAAGAAAAAATGCTTAAGCATAAAATTATAGCAGTCATGTGCGAGAAACGGGTGGTTATCGATACACACAAGCAATTCATTCATTGTCTACACTGGTTATCAAAATTAAAGGATAATGACAGAAATTAAATGTAACTGATGCGTAATGAAAAATTATTAAAAGACTTTTTTTTTTTCTTTTCTTCAAATCTGGCAGCTATGCCTTAACCATAGTTAAAAATGTGTAATGAATCAAAAGCAAATTCTCTTGCATCCAAACCTTAAAATTAGAGGTATCAAATTGATTTCTGTGTCAGAACATCTGTAAGAAGACTGTATGTACTCTACTGTGCATATGTATACTCAAAAAGAAAAAAATGCTTAAGCATAAAATTATAGCAGTCATGTGCGAGAAAAGGGTGGTTACCGATACACACAAGCAATTCATTCATTGTCTACACTGGTTATCAAAATTAAAGGATAATGACAGAAATTAAATGTAACTGATGCTTAATGAAAAATTATTAAAAGAAATTTGTACAAAAGCATTAGTTAACATAAATTACAATGTTTGACAGTTGATTATTTGCAAAATATTGAAATTAGAAAATGATGGAAAAATTAAGCCACCTCTTATAGAAAATTTGTTTCTTTAATATGGTGTATGGTCACCTCGAAGAGCTATACATACCTCACATCTTGATTTTAGAGACTTTATCAAAATGTTGAATCAAGTCTTGTGGAATTGCATGTCACTCTTCTAAAAGTGCACTTTTCAGTTCCTGCAGCATCTGGAGAAGAATTTAGCACCCTAAGTCACCCCACACATGCTCAATTGGGTTAAAGATGGCCAATTCATTCAAGTGATATTCAAGTGCAAAATGGAAAAATAACATCAGTGTGTCACCATTAGCAACAATCTAGATTTCTATTCCATTGGAATTTATGTGGTATTGATTGCCTCAGCTGGCACAAATGTTTTTTGTAATGTAGTAATAATCCTAAAAGTAACGTGATAAACTACATGTTGCATTGTATTATTTACCTTTTTTTTATATATATATAACTGTTCTTCGGAAAACAATATTAGTGGTATACCTTAGTGAAAGTCGTGAAATTTTCAGAATGTGTCAGACAATTATGCAGATAATAATCCTTCAGTTAAGTAACATCTTCATAGGTGTTCTCTTCATTGTATTTCAAATTCTGGCAGTTTTTATAAGAAAATCTGTAATGTATTGTGTTAAAAATATGCATCTGTACAATTAACCAGTAAAAAAAAAAAGAAACTGTGGTAAAATTTCTGAAGGAATATATTTTATCACAAAATCACTAAAGATAATACTTATGAGATGCTTTGGTGCATGATTCTGAGGCTTGTGTGACGACAAGTTTGTGCAATATTCCAATTTCTAAGTGAAAACAAACTGCTGTGTACATTTAGAAAAAAATTACTTTTTACTTCAGAAAAAAATTACTGAAGGATTTTGAGAAAAATGTAAGCATTTTCTTTTTTATGGTGGTCAGTTTAAAAAGGAGGTATTCCTCTTCCCCCCCCAAAAAAAACAGGTACATCTGGAATGGTAAATTTGATTCTTTAAATTTTGATTTTCCTGCTGTAATCCTTACTCAAACTTTATACTACTGAGAAAGAACTGTATTTTAATGAAATAATTTTCAATATTGTATAAGTACCGTATTTGACGGCATATAAGACGCAAACTTATTTAGACGGCCACACACAAGGAAAACAGTTTTCAATAGCGTGGTTTCTTTTAGTTCTCACGTTTTGTAAAAGCCAAATAAACAATTATTGAATACAATTACCTTCACGTATAAGACTGTGTCCTTCACGTATAAGACGCAGGTAACTTTTTTGAGACCAAATTTAGGAAAAAAAAGTGCGTCTTATATGCCGTTAAATACGGTATGTATCAAAATTTTTTCATAACAGCCACTGTACTTTGATCTAGCTAAAATTAAGTACTATTTAGTCCAAAATGTTCTATGCATTTTACACCCAAAGAAACACACTAATCACAAAAACAGAAATTTAATTTTTTTAACATACGTCATATAAACACAGATATAAATAAGTAGCATGATTTACAAAGCATTAGTAAATATTTGCATAAATGCCCTGTAATATTCTAATATATTTGCACATCCCTCAGTAAAAATAATTTTGTATGTGTTCAAATATTGTTATATTTATCAAATATTAAAAACAGTAATTATGTATCCATTTACAAAAATTTATTTTTTCTCTGAAGTGACACTATTTATGTACTCAAAGTAGTGTACTCAAAGAATTATTATGACATTGTTCACATAAGCATAGTTATTTATGGGTATTTTTGCTAATTTGTAACATAATTTTAAACACAATTCCGCATTACATTACAATACATGACATATAATGCATTTCTGAAAAACTGAACTGTATTAACACATTCCTGATAGAGGCAAATAATAGTTATACAATGTAATCTAAAACCATTTTCTAGTTTGTACAATCTACTTTTCTGAAAGTTTTGATTTATAAAACATTTTCATATACAGTACAAAGCTTGAGATCCAGAAATGTTGATACTTTGGCAATTCTGTATTTCACAAATTTCTCGATTTTAGTTGAAATCTAATAAAATGACATATAGGCATTGCAATACTGGAGCTTCACTTATTGTTTAGGTCAGATAGAAGAATGCTAGCCTTTCAGTGTGGCTGGCACCAAAGCTGATGCAGATGCATCGTGCTGCAAAAAATTTAGAATTTAGAGAAGCATCAAGCAGCAAAATTTAAGAATGGCAAAATTTTTAAAATTTAGAGAGGTGCTGGGCAACAGGAATATAAGATCTTCAGAGGGTGATCACTGGGTGAAAGAAACAGTAGGTGCAAAAGTGTGATCCTGGCCAACATGAATACATTATTGGCTACTGTGAGACTCCCTAGTAAGCAGCTGTTCAAGAAAACTTGCATTATGGCAAACATGCCTTCCTTTTGTTGAAAATTACATTCTTCGTTCCCAGGTTTTGTAAGAAGGGGAGGATTTATTTGTTCTTCATTTATTTACTTATTTATTGCCTTGTGTTCCAGTGGTTTCGATATTAGATCATTCTTGATTTCGGATTCTGTACTATTCTGCATATAATTACTTATTTTGATCTATCTATCTAATTTTATATGCCACATTTATTAAAAAAATAAAACTCCCTGTGTTTTACTATATTTATGTTCTAAAACTTGGTAAGGTCTTACAAATGGGTATTTTGGTGTAAGAAATTGCAGAATACAAGGAATAAGTTTAATTATCATATGCTAAACTTCAAGAAACTGGACATTTGCTTAGCAATATCTAATCTGACAAGACAAACTAATTATCTTAAAAAACAGTACATTACTGAAGAATCATGGGAAGGGGATTGATTAGCATTATCACACCCATTCAAAGAATAAATTCGTTTTTCTTTAAAAAGATGACATTAAGCATTAATTACAATTATTAAATATGTGTTTCATTCTTTTCACTTTTATTGCATGTTACTAGTTATGGTTTTGAACCTTTCCTTCAAGATACATACCTTCCTCTAAAAAACATATTCATAATTATAAATATAAGCATTTTCATGACACAATTTGATCTCCTAAGACGGATATGTAAATACTTTTAACTGTCAACCCAAAAGATCTTTTTGAATGCATTCGGGAAGAAGGGCCATCATGGTTCTTGTGTGATGCCTCTACTGGTTGCCAGGGGGTGAGGGGAGAGTACAACTCAACTTGATAGAAATTTTTAAAATATACTATATATAAGTTACAAAAAAATATATTACACTTCAAAACAGCATTTTATGCACTTAATGTCATATTTTTAGTTTATATAAGCCTCTGATAGTGAACGCGGTGTCACAATTGCCTTGGATGCGGGTCAACCAATAACATATACATGTACATTTCAAGGAATAGGAAGGGAAAAAAGGTATCGATGATTAATCAAATGTTTTTTTTAATTTTCAGTTTTTCACCTGTTTTTATTTTTATTATAAACAATGTGATGTAAACACAAGTATTAATATAGATACTGAATATGAAATAAATATAATTAATATATACACAGTATGTTCCAGCATATAACATGCACTGGTGTATAATGTGCACCTATAACTGCAAGCTACATTTTTTAATTTTTAGGTACATTCACCATATAAAATGCACTTTTTTCTTTATGAAGAAACCTGAAAGATTCATGAGCAATGCTGTTATTTTTTGAAGTCTTTTTGAAAATTTCTCCCGTGCTTTCGAATAATGGTGTGCTGAACTGACAAGCGATAAGGGGAACAATGCTGTTGCATTTCTATATGGGTTCGTGGATTTGGAGTAATTAACGACAACACTTGATGATGAATGAAAACACAATTTATTAGCCAGTATTACTCAGGACAACTCCAATAACACATTTATAGTCGTCAATAAACTACGACACACACGCTGAAACAATCAACAACACAGACTTCAAGCTATAATGGTGCAGACAGCTTCATGGCAAAACACCAGAGTACAGCTCCCGACTTGGTTTGGTAGTTCTTGTAACTCTACGCACTCTTGAGGCTCTCTACGCTACAACTCACGATGCACTTGCTAGACTCTGATGACAAACTTGACACTAGACTGACAATCAACTTGATAGACTACGACAATAGATTCGCAATTGACTCGATAGACTATGAGACATTAATACTACTATGTGTACCAGCAAGGTTTATAAAGCTTTTGCATTGTGTTTGAGAACATTATGGGCCAAACTGGTTAAGAATTCATTCTAGAATGTCCTCCATCTGTGCACCGCATATCACAAATTTTGTCGCCAAATGTGCAATTTCATACCAAATATGGCAACCCTGCCTTCCCTTGACATTTTCTGGCAATCCTAAACCAGCCTTGCAGGGAAGCTGTTTACCGCAGCTGGACATTTTGTAACAATATGTATGTGGAGGAAATGTATGAGGTAATAAATAATTGTGTGATAAAGACCGGCTGTATTCGATGCAGGTGTGCACGAGAATGTTATTCTGGGGGTTTTCAAAACAAGGGGGACGTAATTTAGGGTATGAATGCACTTCCAACCCAAAAGAATTCATGGAGTAGGGAGCCCAATGTTTCTCTTTCTGTAGTGATTTGAAACTATGATTTTGAAGTGAACATCAAAGGCTTTAGTAAATTGCATTTGCTTTAGTTGAAATACAGCTGATTTAGTGTTCCTTTCAGTAATAAATACTGCTCCTGTAAAATAAAACAAACACAGTACTGGTTTCAAATGCAAAGTCATTCAATTTGCAAAAGAAAATAGAAATCTTGCTGCAGGATGTGTGGTGGTGCTGAAAGTTCCATGTATGAGTGGAAGAAAAATTACATCATAATAATTAACCTTCTGATTGGCCTGGGTTTTTGGATCTGTCATGAAGACTTGTATTCAAAGAGCCTTTAGCCTTAGTAAATATACATATTTAGCTATTTTAGTCTCTATTTTCATTAACTTACATTCATCAAGATGGCATTTATATTATTAATGAAAGTAAGAAAGTGAACTATCTTAAATTATAAGCTAATATATAACAAGTGACAAAAAATCTCATGACTGGATAAAGCCAGCTATGACACTTCGAAGGTTAATACACCAAAGAATAAATGTGCTTTGTGTAAAATAGTAATGAAATGACCTATTCTAGAAGAAAGTGCTGTGAACTGCTTCCTAGAAAATCACCAGAATGGATTAAAAAAATGCAAGAAAGAATACAAATGAAAGCAAAAACTTCAAGCAACTTTGAGTTGGTGTAGTCAATTTATGGCATGGAATAACTTAGTTCTACGATTAAAAAACCAAAAGTTTTGCAAAGGCCTCCAAAAGATTTGGACAACAGATTCATGTTTGATATGATAGGAAATAAAGCTACTAATATGAAAGGACAAAAATAGTTCACATAAAAACAACAGGAAAAATCGCACCTCAATGTTATCATGAAAAATCTCACCTCACCTTACTGCTTTTCTGCTTAGCAAATGGTACAAAATTAATACCCAAGGTTTTTTTTATGAAAGACGATGCTGAAATGTAATTTTTCAAATGGTGTTTTCATTCATGTTTATGAGAAAAGATGGCTGGACAAAAATGATGTAAAATGGACAAACTGCAGATAAGAAGTGTTTGGTAAAAGTGTCCTGTTGAATTAAAAGAATCCACAAAGTCTTAGTTTGGGATATGCTCAGATTCTATATACCAGATAATACAAAGAAATTGCTGAAAGAATGTTATACAGACATGGATAATATATATAATGGTTATACAGACAGTTATTTCAAATGGATTAATGCAATTAGTTCAGCTTTTAGATGTGTGTATCAATAAACCACTGGAAAAATTTAAAACAACAGTGCAATACATGGATGTTAGGAGGTGAAAAAACATTTAGGAAAGGAGGCCAAATGCATCATGCCAATCTAGAAATAGTGTGTAAGTGGATAATAAAAGTATGGAAAGAAATTAAACTTGACATAAATGTAATATATCTAACAGTCTAGATGGACTGGAAGATGATTATTTATGTGTTGATCAGAGTAATAGTGATGGTGAAAAGGAACCACCCTTGTAAGGCCTACCAGAAAAAAACAAAAAAGTATTAAAAAGGGCATTGTAGTGATACCTATGTTTTTTTCTGAATATAATTCCCATTGTCAGGTAGATCTTAATGATTTCTAGCCTCAGCCAGATACAGAATACAAATTTATTATAGTGTACCAAGCTCATCTCACTGATTTTTTTTTTTTTTTTTTTTTATGTATTTGCAATAAAAGTTTTTTAAGGGCAGCCTTTCATTATTTTTCAAAACAATATTTGTATTTTTGAGGAATGAGCATGTTTTAAATAATAGCTTTGTTATGACCTTTTTTTTTTTTTTTTTAATTTTCCTAAAGGGCTTTTATCATTCTATAGAATGCCTAGGTACTAAGTACAGTACAAAGTCTGTAATCCGGATTCGTCGGGACTTCGGCGATTCCGGATTATAGATCATCAATTTAAATCTGGTAAGATGGCATGCAGAAATTATATAATTAAAAATATCAAACTGTAATTTATGAAATAAAGAGCAATTATGATCTAAAGGATAGCAAATTTTACAAAAAAAAAAAAAAGCTTAATATTTATTTGTTTACATTATTAAACATTTCTTTCAACGCACGCATGCGTAAAGCATACATTACGCACATACGTACTGTATGCACATTCTTTACACGCATGTGTAAAGTTTGTGACTTTGAGGTCCGGATTATAGATCATTCCGGATAATGGACGTCCGAATTATGGACTTTGTACAGTATACAGTCAAGTCTTTAATCCGGACTCGTTGGGACTTCAGCGATTCCGGATTATCGATTTTTCCGGATTATAGATGATCAGTTTAAATCTGGTAAGATGGCATGAAGAAATTATAAAATTAAAAATATGAAACCGTAATTTATGAAATAAAGAGCAATTATGATCTAAAGGGTATCAAAATTTACAAAAAAAGCTTAATATTTATTTGTTTACTTTATTAAGTATTTCTTTCAACGCGCCCATGCGTAAAGCTTACATTACGCATAGTCGAAATTAGAAAATTGCAACCAGGAAACTATTTGATGTGTATTCGTGATATTTATAATGAATTTGATTTAAATCATATCAGAGTACATCGAGATGAAATACTACATTTAGTAATG